GCTTCGGGCTATCGGAACGTGTGCATTTTTCCTGTGCAACCGTGACGCCGACTCGATTCTATGTTTAAACATTTTGCAATCGCACGAACGTGCGACTACAGCGGTTCCCCCCATTGTTTAACGGGAAAGAGTTGTGAATTGTCTTTGGATGTGTAATTATCGTAACATGCGCGACAGTTGAAGTCACCGCTTTATAAAAAATTAGACGACTTGTCGCATCCGGAGAGATGACTCTTCCTCGAATCCTTGAGACCGATCGAAGATCTTAACTCCGTGTTATTGATTCCAGATGCGCTGCTGGCAGACCTGCAAAACACAGTGTCGTCAGAAGGAAATCACGTCGGTAGCAACGCGACGCCTGGTTATGGATCATTGAACGGCGCCCGAACCGCTGCGTACAGATCCTACGATAATAGAACCTCACCGCTTCCGGCGCAATCGGTATGTAGAACATGTTTACGGGCCAATTAACCTGTTAATCGTTTACGCCTACTACTGTAATAAACGTGATTTATTCAACGATAAATGTACCTATAATACGCATCGTACACACTGCTGGTGGGTATTATGACACAACTTAATCATCCAAGAATCTCCGACCAAATAACCAAGAAAGCTAGATTATCTCCAAGGATGCAGGTGAATATGAATTAACTGTCAGAATTCCAATGGGATTACCACCCCGTTTGTCTAACATGACAAAAACAGTACAAACGGACGTTCGTCATATAATATTTCACTATCGCCACTTACGTTCCATTTCAGACTAAACTATGTTTCGTGTCATCCATGAATTTTCGTTGCGAGCGACTTGGCAACCGAGATTGTAAATTGACACGCCATTAACCGACCGTCGAGTAACAAGAAAACCCACTGTTCCCGGCTCGCGGGTTTTTCGCGTTGTCTTATCGACGGATGTCCGGAGGTGTCGCGCGGCCGTTCAAAGTGTAGCGTTCTGGGATAGATGGCGAGGGTGACACGTAGCACTCGCTGCTTCGCGGTGTTCACCAGCACCGTTTCGAATTCCGCGGTGGCCTTCGCTCGATTCTCCATAACGTCTCGAAATAGAGCGATCGGCCGAGACTCCCCCACGAAAACGTCCATCGGTATATCGCATGTATCTAGCTAACGAAAATCGCTCTCCGGTGTCTCCGCATTGATAAAACGACCGTACCTCTTATAATTTTCTTGGCAATGACGGTACCATTAAACCCACTCGAACGAAAATCATTCAACGCGCTCGGCGATTGGAAATATCCTGATTTCAGAAGGAATTGCGAACGATCGGTGTACCGAGGCGTTGTGCAAAATAGATACATTCCAGAATACACGGGCCGATGACGCAAGCGATAGTTAAAATTAGCCCCGATATTGCCTCTAAAATTGACCGGCCGAATCGCCAGCACACAAAAACTACGGGTCTGTAAAAATCAGATGCGAAGTGGGCTCGGGTTACGCGCGATGAAGCTTTCGCCTCTGCGGAACACGAATTACTTCGGGACGATCCGGCGCCGAGTTGCTTTTAACCCTTTGCGGTCAAAGGTTCTTAGAAACATAGGAAACTTTCGTCGGATGAAGTTAAATTATACATAGATTGCTTAAACAATAGAAAATAGAGGAAGTGTTTGCTGATCTCTCGCTGTTCAAATAATTAAATCGGCTGTTTGAGACTTGGTCTTCGAAATACGAGAATTTCATCTCGCCTAAATGTCGACATTCGTCGGCAAAGGGTTGAATCTTGTATATCGATAACAATGATTCGTCTGTATTGTACGGTAAACGTTAGCCGACATTTAGAAACAAAGAGAAGAGAAGAAAATACACGCTACGCTATGATACACGAGATTTGGCGCCTGCAACGTCACGTAATTTGACCTTGAGGAATTCTGAAATCCAATGGAATATCGTGCTTTTAATATTTTCATTCGGAATCGATATTTCCGTTGTGCACGATGTACAATCGTATGCTCCACGATTGACTTATTATCCCAAGTATATCGGAATTCATCCTCGGAGCCGAACGATTGCATAAACACGCGCAGTTTACTTGTTACACGGCGATTTGCAGCGGAGCCTGTCTCGCCGCGATGATTAATTGCGTCGCGGGCCAGCTCTTATCGTCGTCCATTACCGTGAATTATTCAATGATCCGAAACGGAATTGACCGATTACCAAAAATATTTTCGCAATGATAAAACGCGTGTATAAGTAAACGGGAATTTGGCTCGTTCGGAAGGACTCGGCCGCGTTAATAATATCGACGCGGTTGTTCCTAAAATGAGAAACAGACGCGAGCGAACAAACGCGAGCGGAAAGATACTAGGCAGAAGGGAAAAAAAGAAAAGGAGTGAAACGTACACAGGTGGATGTAAAAATACGCGGACGGAGGGAACGCGCGTCGCGGAGGAAGCGAGCTTCAGAGCGAATACGGGTCTCTTAACTGTTATCGATCTTGCTCCCCCGATGGAACACCTGTTACGTTCCCCCGCTGCAATATCGATTCTTTTATGCGAGCGGTATGCTCGTCTATTATTCAGGTTTTCGACGTGCCCCGGCTCGGCCAGAAAATTTCCCAGTTCGCGCGGAACGCGGGGACTCGCGCGAGCCAACTGCACAGTGGGCAATTGCCAAAACCGATACTTACTATAAAATACAACTTCATCCGAAACTTAATTGCTTCGAGCCTCCTTGCCCAATGTCTCGGCTCCATCCGCTTGTGCGTCCCCCCGTTGCACAATAACCGGCGTGTCACGGTTGCGTCCGCGTCGCGATCAACAACATCCGCGTAACAAAAGTTAATTCGAACATCTTCTGGCGAATAATATTCCCCAAATATCAGATGGTAACCGAAATAACTTCGAGTGTACGAGCAGGTTCTAATTCGAAGGATTGAATTATGATTTATTGGACGATTCCTTCGATTCTACTATTTGAAATTAGAATTTTCGATTGTTAGTTCCTATCGCAGCCGTCGAACGCTTCTGTTAAGCGAGTAGCAACGAGGCGGATTACGAAACGTTAATTAGAACTAATTCAGTTAGACCGACCGGTTGGTCGGGTCATTGCATCGATCATCGTCGCGCTACGCCCGCTCAATCTTGTTCGTGAATCATTCAACCTGCTGATTTCACCTTTAACAACTCGGGTCAACGAAGTTTCCGTCGAGGTCGCACTGTTTTTTTCCATTATTTGAAACCTCGTGAGGCGCTTCTTAAAAAATTGATAACATCTGGCGGTACGCGGTCGTCGAGAAGCGGAAAATGTTTTGCGCCTGCGAAGACATGATTTCTATGCCACTTTCGGCACGGCGGTGGTAAATACGCGTGGCGAATGTCTTTTCGAAGATCCCTGGAGCTTTGACGTATAAATAGATTTTATTGCACCCACGCGATCGCATTCGGTTCTGCCAAAAGATATAAAAGGGAAGATTGGGAAAAGAAAAGGCAGCGAGAAGATAAAGTCCCCAAGTAAATTGGAGGTTTCCGGTGCGAATATCCGAGCAAGATCGAGACGAGACGGCGTTCGCAATTTATGTGTGTCGCTTGTCCACCGGTAGGATAATAGTCTTCACGGTTTGACGAACGTTCTTGGCGTAAATCATAAAACGTGACACGTTCGCGTATCGTGGCTCTTGGAACAGTCCACGGTCTCGTGGGACGCTCGTTGCCGCCAAACTTTTCGATCCGATCGGAAATGCTGCCGATGCGTCTTCGATACTGTAACTGCCGAGCAGTCGAATTAACCGAACATCTCGATTTACTTGTATTCTGGCTCGTGTATCACCGAATCAAATTATTTAATAATTTCCTAGGGAAACATTTATATCCTTCCACTACTTGAAAGGTAGTCTCGAAATGAGTCAGTTTGACCTATTTGGTAGTTCCAGTGATAAGAAACTTCCTGCGTGAAGACTAATCAACTTCGTTTGATAAACGTTCCCTTATTTTGAAGAGCATATATCCGCAAGGTTAAAACCTCCTTTCACGGATGTGTCTTACAGTCACCGTTCCTGCTCGGAACCCAATTTTGGCTGGCGCATTAACACGTTTAAAATGCATGGAGTGACACTAATGAAAAATGAATTTGCCGCAGCGCGATGACAGTTGAAAGTTAAGAGTTCTCATTTTCGGCTGTAAAATCTTTCAGCCCCTTCAGCGCTGTGAACGCATGCCAAACAAAAGGGAAACGCTCGGACGTCGAGCGTCTTAGCGCTGAAAGGGGTAAAAAAATCGAACAAACGCGTCCGCGAACGTCATCGAAGGTCGGGACCGTCAAGCTTTCCCTTTGATTCGGATTTAGCACGCAGCGAAACGATTGCGTGTCCGTGCGAATTCGAGGACGTTGCGCAAACTGCGCACAGTGCATCGATTCATCGGCGACGCGCACGTGCGGTGGAAACGTTAGATTTTTCTTTCGTAGACGAGTTTCGAGAAAGCGGATTCGAGTGGTAGCGTCTTATGATCTAACCAGCATCATTAGGAACGTCACGAGAACAATTAGATCGGTCAAAGTGAAACGGTCAAAGTCTGCGACGGTTTGCTAGTCCATCGTTCTCGCTCTTTGACCGGGAACAGTCGGAGATCAGACACTGAAGTTCGAGCGGTTTCGGCGTCTCCGGTGGATTGCAGAGTTATGGGTTTCGCGGACCGCGGGTTGTCTCGCAGTCCCCGGTGTTTATTTTTTGATCCAGCAGCCTTGAACAGTCGACCGGCATCGAGCGCGGCCGTGGTTGCGAGACTCCGCGATTCGGAGAACGGGTCCGTGAGATCCGAACCAGCCGTCCGCAGGACACAGGCTCTCGATGTACCGCGACATGTTTCTCCGGGGCGATGTGGTTCGCCTATGGATATTTTTGGATCGACAACTCACCGAGCAACCTAGTTTCCACCATCGGGACGTATCGTTGCGCCGGTTCGATCGCGAAAAAAAAATGAAAGGATAAGAGATTTTTCCTCCACCGCGGTGCATCGTTTCCCTTCGAAGATATCGAGGTAACTGCAGCGTCCTCTTCGTTGATCGCTCGATCTCTTCAGACCTTGGACCACCGTCGAGGTCGATTCGACGCGCCCCATTCATTTCCAACTGGTCGGAGCGAGCTTAACGAATCCGAGGATTTTGCAAGAAACGCGAGAATCCGTCGACCGGCTGGCCGCAGGGGTTTCTATTAAAAGTGTATGACGCCTTGTCCCCCGCGCACTCGTCCACCCAATTGATAATGTATTTACAAAACGTCGTGCGCGTCGTGGGCACCCAGTGACATCATGCATTGAAATAATGTGCTTCTACGGGAACTTGGCAGTGCGTTCGAGGCGATTTCTTTTTCCCCATCGAGCCAACGACGCTCGAGGTGCCTATTCTTTCCCCCGTCGCGAGCGACGGTCTCGCCGCCTTCGATCCATCGGTTAATTATCGAAAACGGGATCGTCGGTTATTTTCCAACGGAAGACCGACGCTTGGTTATCTTATCGTTTGTATCGTTATTATCGGAATTATTGGTCCCCTGTTTCTGCCGTTCAGAATTGGTCGGATCGGATACCGAAGCAATCACGGACACGATCGTAATGAATTTTGTTACAGCCTACATATCAAAACCGGGAGGCCATCGAGGAGACTATTGGGAAGAGCAGCACCGGAGGGAAAATGCCCTCGCTGAACAACAATCTATCGGAGCTGGACACTCTGCTCCAAGATCTCAGCAATGCCCGTTACAACGCGCATTATCAAGAAAGAGGTCAGCATCCTATTTTCGCGGCTGATTTAGTCACCTCGCTTCACCGTGTAGTCACGATCCCCCTCCCCTTCGTTCGGTGAACAGTGAAAAGTACAATGAGACTGATCTGATTTAGTAGTGTAACCTGTTAACCGATCGATTTCCCGATTATATCGCTTTCCGTTCAAACGTAATCGAAGCGGGCGAAAACGATCGTAACGGAAAGTTCAACGAATTGATCGTCTCTCCCGGTTAACAGGTTAACGATACCGGTCTTAACGCTCGAGCGACCGAGGAACCAACGCAATCAGCATTGGGTGGATAGAATGCCCCGCCGTTAGATCATTTTTTACGCGCGAATCGATCGTCCGAGCGTCAAGAGCCAGGGAACCCGTGAACCCAAAGAAACGGGAGACCCGAGGTTTTCAAACTTATCACCCGGATATATCGATGATCGTAGAGAACCGCGTTTCCTCCGGCGGAATCAATGGCGACACTAGCCCGCTGCTTCGTTCTCCAAGCAGCATGTCTGCGTCGAGGCCCACCGTCGACTCGTTGCTCGAGGAGCTGAGCACCGCGGTGCCTAACGGGTGAGCTTCTCATTTACCATAGAAGGGCTCTGTTCGGAGACCGTCGTTGTTTTCTCGGGCCGCGAACCCGCCGTCGCGAGACTAACCCGGCGATTTTCCTGATCAGGGACTACTCTTCCGACGGAAGAGTCAAAGTTACCATTCAGGAAACGTCCACCGAGATTCAACCCGTCTACGATGGTTACCCCTCGAGGCACGGCTCGTTGAATAGGATGGAGGCGCAGAGAGGCTACACGAACGGCCACACAGCGAGCAATGCTACCAAGGAACTCGACGACCTTATGGCTTCCCTGTCCGACTTTAAGGTATAATAATCGTGAAAACGTTAAGTCGACGCTGGTTAGTTACTTAGAACGTATACTTTGGAAACGATCCGAGGAATTAGTAACTCTATGGGAACCACAGGTAACATCGTCTTTCACAGGATTAGGTCGGTCGAGGTTTTCGGTCCCAGGATTTTCAGTTTAGGTTTTTCAAAGTTAGTCTAAAGGGGTAGCAAAGGGGTAGGTTTTCTATTGCCACGATATCCTTCGGCTGATCGAACTGACACCTCTTCTCGTGGCCCTGAACCCTTTCACTAGCTTGCCTGAGAATCGTTACCTTCAAGGATACCTGTTGACCGACACCATTCTTCTAGAGTCGATTACGCGATACGTGGGTCCGTTTAATTGGACGCGGGTGCAATAAGCTTTTGTAATGTTTGCTTACTATTAAAAGTCACTACAGAATGAGAAAACAGCGGCGTGAAAACTACTCCTGCCCATTCTTGGCTCCCTAGGTTACCAAAATAACTTCCATTCCACCATCTACCACCAGTCGCGACCGACCGTCAGAATCCGCTTCTCCTTCTCTCCTTCTGCATGTCTCCTTTTTCTCGCCTCCGCCGATTTTCCGTGGTCCCGGTGGAGGGAAAATATAGGAGGTGGGGGTCAATACTGATCCACGAAATCTCTCAAAGCTTTCAGCCAGTCTGCAAGCTCGCCTGAGCCAATCGAGACCGGCCGGACTCGCGGCTTCCTTCGAGGATTCATCGCTTTACCGGTATCTTGACATTTTCCCCTTATCCTCGACGCATCCAACTGGGCTATTTTATTTCGCGTTCGACCGCGCCGTTGTTCCTCTTCGCCTTCTAACGCTTCTTCCTACCAGCTGTCTTCCTATCGTCCGCTTCGTATAACCAGGAATAATAAATTCTGAAAAACGACGCTAAACACACGCCCACCTTTCACAGAACATTCTACGTTTTACAGATCAATAGTGGTTCCCATCAACATCAGACAGTGACCGACTCGCCTTACGCGAAGCCGAACAAAGCTACCAAGAGCTCGCAGAGTCCGCTGCCACCCGAGGGCACGCAGACTAGGATTCACATCACCGAGACGCACACCACCCACCATTATCAACAGCAACACGGAGAGCCTTATACCCCGCAGCCAGCCACTCAACACAAACAGAATCAGTTGGATTCTATGCTAGGGAATCTTCAGGCAGACATGAGTCGTCAAGGTGTGAACACTACTCAGAAGGGATGCTGCAGCGCCTGCGAGAAGCCTATCGTGGGACAAGTAATTAACGACCAGTGGTGTTGACCGACGACCGCTCACCGACGTCACCCGGCGTCGCCGTAAAACCTCGAGTAAAATACGCGCTCCCATTTCAACGGGACGACACGAGGAGAAACCGATGCGCGCGTAGTACACGAGCTTTTACGGTACTCGGAGGATCGCGTTCGATCGACTAACGCTGAATATCTTTTTCACAGGTGATCACTGCCCTGGGGAAAACGTGGCATCCCGAACACTTCACTTGTACCCACTGCAACCAGGAGCTAGGCACGAGGAACTTCTTCGAGAGGGAAGGTCAACCGTACTGCGAGTCGGATTACCACAATCTGTTTTCTCCTCGCTGCGCCTACTGCAACGGCCCCATCTTGGATGTAAGATCTTAGAGACCCTGGTGGTTGTCGAGAGTCTCTTCCTCGAATTAGTCGACCGCTGTCACCGTTCTCCGAACTATTTTCAGAAATGCGTAACCGCCCTGGAGAAAACTTGGCATACGGAACACTTCTTCTGCGCCCAGTGCGGCAAACAATTCGGCGAGGAAGGGTTCCATGAGCGGGACGGGAAGCCGTACTGCAGGGAGGACTACTTCGACATGTTCGCGCCGAAATGCGGCGGCTGTAACCGCGCCATCATGGAGAACTATATATCCGCGCTGAACAGTCAATGGCACCCCGACTGTTTCGTTTGCAGGGTAGGTGTTCGTTGGTCAGAGGACTAAAACACGACGTGTGCCTTTTTGTTTGCAGCAACGCTTCGGGGTTTCCTCGTACGCCGACGGAGTACCTGGAATTGATAGAGTTCCATTAGATCAGGGGATTTTTAGGCTTTCACTGGCCGGCATTGTACGGTTCTTGCCGTTGAGGATTTCAAGTGTGAACCGTGGCTTTTATTGACAAGATAATTACAAGATAATTACAATACCAGGAAAATATCGGAGTAACTTTTCCTGGGCGTACAGCTTACGCCTGAAAGCCTCAACAGTAAGGACGCATATCGGAAATGTAGACTCATGTCCTGTGAAAATTACAGGATTGCAAGAAACCGGTGTCCGGAAAGTCGTTTTACGCCATGGAGGGCAAACCTGTTTGCCCGAAATGCGTTGGAGTCGACGACGAAGAGGAAGAGGAGGAGGAGGAAGCATAAACGACGCGAAACCCGTGTCGCGTTGCTTCCATTTCTTATGTGAAATGCCCTATTGTCCCCCTATGATTATATATGTCGCCAAGCTCTATCGATGCGGAGCTTGGCATGCCTCCACCCCCCCCCCCCC